GAATTTGTGGCTCCTTGTTTATTGTTGACGTGACTATTCAATTGGGTTCGAATAAATTTTATCGAAAAAAATCAAACTGAAAATATTTGTAGCGAAGTTTTCTCTACAATTAAGAAAAAGTAATAATTTTGGTGTGATTATGAGTTTTAAATGTCTCTAATTCGAATTTATCTAATTATGTGCTATGATTATATTATAAACACTCTCGGGAGAAATTCTTCGATGCACCCGGGTGTACCACGTCACCTGTGCACCGCCCCAATAGATGGTTGACACGTGTTAAGGTTAAAAAAAAAAATCAATTGCGGGTACCGCTGCGGAGTAAGCAGAGGCAACTTCTCCTCCACCGCCACCGCTGACGTCCACCACAACTTCAGTTCTCTCCCGCTCTTCGACTCGCCAAGCTTCTCAGAAGCTCAATCTGAACCCGACCCACCTCCCTCCCAGTCCCAAAGTTCAGACCTTGGCCACTAAAAGTTCCTCCCATCACAAAAGCAACGCCACCAACGAGAAACCCAAGAGTTCCCCGATGTCGATGCCGCTTTCCTAGATGGAGAAGAAATCATTTGCGGTCCCCAGAAGGATGAGGATGAGCTTTGATAATTGATGCTTCTTTTATTGTTTGCATATGTTTGATTTCAGTTTTGGGAAGCGAGGGTAGGTTGTCGATGGAAATTAAGAACACGCAAACAGGCACTGAGACGACGCGTCGATTTCACCCCGCAAAGGTGCATCTTGCCTTTTTTACTTTTTTAAAACCTTGACACGTGGCGATCTCCTATTGGACGGTGCACGGGTGACGTGGTACACCTGGTGCACTGAAGAATTTCTCCTCGCTCGGTGTACAATTCAGTTGTTCATACACTTTAGTCGTTATAATTATCTCTTAGATCACAAATCTTGCTCACTCTCTCTTACTTTATAAAGCAACTCAATGGACATTAACATTATAAGAAATTAGCGTGGAGCCCCCGGCCAGTTGGTCAGAGGAGGTGAGTTATGAAATTTGATAATATAATAGGGTGTATAGATTATTGTTGCATAGCTTTTTCAGAAACTTGTAATAAAGATAGTGAATTTTAGCAAAAAAGAGGCATGAATGATGCAATAAAAAATCAGTCTTATGAACCAAGTTCTAGTACCTATTACCTTGTGAAACAATATTATTTATGGTAATATGAGGAAGTGGAGTAAGTTTATAGAAATCAAATTCTAGAAAACCGAATAAAAAATCGCCTATCCCTCTAGTCTTCGAGAAATGAGCATCTCACAATCGTTGCTAGCTTTTACTCGGCCCGTTGGCCGATTAATTTTCTTTATAAAACTTTCATCTTGTCGTCAAAGTTATTAATTCGAATGGAACCATCCGTTCATCAACTCACAGAAACTGTTAAATGGTTAACCTACAATCCAACTCGATTAGCCTAGTTTTTCTAATTTGAAACATATATTATGCTATAATTTTATATCTTAGTGGCTAAAATATAATGTATTTTAAAGTTATTAAATGGTTAAACATCAACCAATTCGATTAGTCTAATTTTTATCATTTCAAATATATATTATGTAATTATTTGATAATAATGATTAAATTATAGTGTATTTTATAGGGAAGCGTTTGATATTTGTTAGTGAAAAAACTAAACAGAAAGATGCATTTGGTTATTTTAACATTAAAACAATCCTAAATTTTTTTAGTTTCCCTTAGACTTTCTATGGTTTTGTTCCCGAAGTAGTGATGTGCAAATGGCGAATTGCAGCCTTCTCTTTTCTTTCACTTTTTTATTTTCAAATAGAAATTTTGAAAGTAAAGAATAATTGGAGTTTGGCATAGGGTCGGTCAAACAGGCTGAATTTCAAGTTTTGGCACATTTTGATCAAGGCTAATTTATAATCACACGATTTCCTGACACCCGATAAAAATCTTAATCCAAACTAGTTCGGCAGCTAAGTTCGTGTTTACCACCATTTTCTAGGAATACAAAAACGACGGTTACTATCCCAAATTGTGTTGTTCGTTCTTGATTTCTTTAGATTTTATCATGGCATGATAAAAACCAGAAAGCACAATGAATCCACCGAACCCAGAATCGTCGGGAAGGAGGGTGGAAATTGCAAACACGGCGGATGGATCTCCCGACCCAATCTCCTTCACGCTTCTCCGACCAGATCTGCTCGTTGACAAGAGAGAAGCAAAGACAGAGGGGTAATAACTTCCGATCGGGGTGAGAAGTGGAGGAATTGTCACCAGAACGGGAAGAAGCACGCACTTCACATGAAATTGACCGTGAAGAACCGCAATCGGTGTAGAAAGTCGGTACAGGCGGTGAGTTTGTTGTAAATCACCCATCGATCCGCAGCTGGCTTGCAGATCAGAAGGGTAGACGCAACGGGAGAGTGGGCGATCAGTCCGACCTTAGGTAACCAGTTCGTGAAGCAAGAGCGAGAGCGCGAGCGCGAGAGCGTCTATTTCAGAAGAACTTAAAGTCGAGAGCGTGATGAGAGCGTCATTATTACATTAAATATAGTTATTTTATATTAATATAATTAACAATTAGTATACAAAATATCATTTATATTGTTTATATTAACAATATATAAACCATAAAATATTAATGGATAAAGGTTTAATAATATGGAAAAGGTATATTTTCACAATATTGCATTTAGATTGTATTAATCCTTCGTTCCATTTTTTCCGTCATAAAATTTAACGATTTGGAATTCGAGTAAAAACTAAATTAAAGTCCAAGATTATTGCCACAAAAAAGTCCAAGATTATTAGTAAATAGTCTTTGGGCTTTCCATCCCCAATACTTCTACAAGTCTATAGTTACATTGATGTAAAAACAGAAAGGACAATAATATCCAGCAACCAGAAGCATCGAGACGGTGGATGATTCTCCTCAATTCAAAGGTGTCGGCTCTTCTTGTTCGACGTCGAATACTGGTCGTCATATCTCTCCGACGTCAGAACTCCTTGTTTCCTCCAGAACGAAGTATCTCTATAATCTCAGAGCCCTATCTCATTTTTCAGCTCGACCGACCTCAATTAATCAACAATCTCCTTCATCCATTTAGAGCCGATGGTCGCAAATTTCCCGACTCTCGTTGAGTCTACTCTCATTTCACCCATTCACCCAATTAATGGCACAAAGTTTCTTTTCAAACTCTACGCAAAAGGTAGTTTTAATCGGATTTTGGCGGATTGGAGTGTGAACGTGGGGTTGGAACCCACGAATTGGATATCCTAAGTCCGTCGAACATATGCGCGCGGCTGAAACCTATTTTGTTTTTTGTGGGCCGCAACAATCTCTGGGCATGTTCAAGTTTGCGTGTGTACGGTAAGTTGGCCCGTTCCACAGAAGAAAGAGAGAAAAATTAGCACTACCTATTCTACCCTTTCTACAAACGCTCTTGGAGCAGCAAATTTGAAATGAGGGAATGGTTTTTTCCTTTCTGCTATTCTATTATGTGTAGATAAGATAGATAGAAATTTAGATTAAGTATTAAAATACAACTAAAATAATCAAAATATGAAAATCAAAGTATCAAAACCAAATAAGTACTTACGGGAAATTCAGTGATAAGCTAATCGTTGAAAAACTCATATGATTTTCAAAATTTAGGTTTATGTATATTTTTAATTTAAAAAGATACAACAAATATACTTAGTGTGATTGGTTATAATTCTTGCTTTTATTTAAAGTGACCATGGTTTAAATCCAGTACATGTCTGTTTTATGAATAAATAAATAATAAATAAATAATTGTGAAGACCAAAATGCCCTTCCTACATCCATTTTCGTTGCAGGAAATTTGAAATGGAACAACAGCTTTTGACTTAGATTTTTCCCATTATATTAAGAATTACAAACTGAACCCTCCGAACATGTTGCCATTCCTTCAGGCTCCAGCCTAGCCACGAATGACGAAACAGACTTGTGTAGTCTGATTTGGAAGGGAAAAAACGAACCTAAAAAGCCCAGGCCGAGCCCAAAAAGCTGAATGGAGCATCTAAATGCCCATTTGGGCCCTATCGTAACCGCCACGAAACGTAGCCCACATATAGTCCATCACAGGTACTCCGTCCTCATTCACCGTCAATACAAAAACCACCTTCAGCCAATTCCAAGTACCTCATTTCTTCGTCGCTACTTTTTCTCCTTTCACGCGCTCGAACAAAACCGTAGCCATGGAAGCGAAGCTTGGCAAGTTCTTCGAATCCGTCACCAACTTCTTCACCGGAGGCGATCAGATCCCTTCCTGCGACCGCGACATCGTCGCAGTAAGTTCGATTTCCCATTTCGCTTCACACCTCCTCTCGCGGCTCGCGCCTTCTGCCTTCTCTCCTTTCCCTCTGTTCTTTTATCGTCTTATCAAAGAGGCGTGGGTTATCGCTGTTTCAGCGAACCTCTATTCAGCCTGAAATTGAAAATCGCGTCAAGAAACAAACAATCCACCTAGGGTTCACTGGGAAACTGTCGCGATTTTGTAGAAAATTGATTCGATGCCGTGTGATTGAGCTGTGTTCTTAGCCGGACTGAAAATGGGGTTTGAGTGGAGACCGAGTTTCCTTTTATTTAGCTTTCGGAAATTCTGCCCGTGCCGAAAACTTCATGTATTCTTGTTTACCTTGACGAAGGTGTAATATGTGGAGATGAGCTAGTGCACCTTGAGAGTAATGGAGATAGTTCCTCCGGTTCTCTAATTTGGCTTTCTTTTTACTTTCCTTCCGTGTGTTCTGTTGAGCTCTATTTGGTTTCCGTTTTAGTATACTGGGTTATCTTGCTGCAGAGTTGTGGTTGCTTCCTGTTAAGCAAGCTGCTTGTAATTAGCTTGATGGTGCCTTCTTTGGCAGGGTTTCATTATATGCCCTTATAGGCTATAGCAGTACTGCTGTGGTTTGAATGTCTTTGCTGATATATCTAGTCTGCAAAAGGTTGGAGTAGAATTAGAACGTGGGGTTTTAGACTAGACTCTGGACTTCTGCATCCAGTAGGCAAAGATTATGTGCGACTCCGATCCTGAAGACTATCTGCTTGCAAAATATGTAACCTATCTAGAGTTGTGGAGTGACGAAACTTCTTGTCACTCATCGTCTTTCCTCGTAAACTGAAATAGGGAAAGTAGTTTCACATTGGCTTTGGGAATCTGGTTCTCCTTCTGATTTGCTTGTTATCATGACCGAATCCGCACAGTAATATCATATGTTTTCCTCTATGTATGCACTTAGTTATTGGATTGGTGCATCTACAGGGTTGTGAACAAGAGGTTCGCGAAGCTCAGGAGGGTTCCAACGAGGAATTGAAGAATGAGTGCATCATGCGTCTATCTTGGGCTCTAGTTCACTCGAAACAGCCGGAAGATGTTCAACGTGGCATAGCTATGCTTGAATGTAATGTTCATATTCGCAATGCTCACCTACACTGAAACAATTGCACTGGCCTATACTTTTATTTGCTCATAGAATTTTCCTCTGCAACTACAGGGTGGTTGATTTTGTAGCCTTACTTATCGTGGTTTCTTCCTGTGTAGTTTATTGACTGTAAAAATGTGTTGCATTTGCAGCTTCTCTGGGTACTAACACCAGTCCTTTGAAACTGAGGGAGAAGCTATATCTTCTGGCTGTTGGATACTACAGATGCAGCGAATATGCTAGGAGCAGGGAGGTGGTAGAAGAATGTTTGAAGGTATACCATCCTGTCATTTTAGTTCCCCTCCCGTGTTATCCAATGTTGCTCATTATGGGGGGTTTAAGTGTTCTCGATCATACAATGTGAACTGAAGAGAGGAGTGCCCTGTGTATACAACAAAATGGAAATGGTACCATGTGGAGTTTTCTGATATACTCGTTTTCGACACAGATTGAACCTGATTTTAGGCAGGCACAGACTCTGAAGAGAGCCATTGAAGATCGTATCACAAAGGGTATGCATTGTTAGAGCTTTGATCATATAACTAATAACTGGATGAGTTGCTTCATTCGGTGATTTTACATTCTGGTTTTTTTTTTCCGGTTTGTATGCAGATGGTGTGATTGGTATAGGAATTGCTGCAACTGCCGTTGGATTAGTTGCTGGAGGGATTGCTGCTGCTTTGGCACGGAGGGGTTGACCTGACCAGGCTGACTGCATAGGAGGAACGCCAAACTCACTACATATTTATGTTTCCTCATCTCATTTTTTTTTTTTTTTTGTTGTTTCCCCTGGGAATATTAAGCTTAAACAGTTGGTTTAGCTTTCATCGGAATTACATTCTAGCTTGCTTTGTGAGTGGTTTATTCGGTTGATTAGTATGATGAATAACTGAGGATCTTCTTTTTTTTTTCACTCTTTCGAATTCACTACGAGAATATGGCTTGTCTATCTGGTTCTTTCAAATAGAATGCTACTATTATTCAATTAAAGTTCCTCATCTATGGTAAGAAACGCTCTCCTGCTTCGCTACAAGACTGACAAAACATTAAATACTAATCCTGCCCTCTAAACCAGCTTGGGAAGAAACTCCAGCAGCGTCTTGACGTTCTTGCCGGTGGCGCTCGATGTCAGCACCCCGACCACCGCCTTGAACTGCTGGGTGCCGACTCCGACGCCAGCGCTGCCGTCGACGGTCGTCAGGACCATCTGGTACAGCACGTTCACGCTCGGGACGATCACCTTCGACGCCGCCTTCTCCACGCTCACCAGCTTCAGCTGGTGAACCGGGGCCCAGTGGTTGTGCGTCGTCACCGCGAAATCGGCGAACTCTGCCACGCTCCTCAGGTTGCTGATCGGCTGCCACCCGCTCAAGGGCGGCAGCGCCGGAAGCGGGGGAAGCAGCGGTGGAAGCAGGGGAAGCCCATCGGACGGCGTGGCTCCGGCCGAAAACGCGCCGGCGACGATGGAGATGAAGGCGAGAGTGGTGATCATTTGTGGCCTCATTGTCGATCACTTTTCCGACTGTCGTGACGTAATTTTCTGTTCTATGTGGAGGGATTAGTCGGAGGAAGTGTGTGTGATTGTGGTTAGGACCGGCCACCGGAGGGGTATTTATATTAAGAATTTGGTGTTTTTTTTGTTGTTGCAATGTATGGAGATTAATGGCTTTGTTGTCTGCATGCAATACGGTTATTTATGGTCAAACGTGAACGGAAGCCGACCAGCTTCTTTTAATCATGTTTAAACGTAAGTTTTCACATCCAACAATTAACATAATTAAACCTTACTCTTTCACATCCAGATATGCATCCAAAATAAAACGGGCTTTTTTGATCAAGCAAACTGACAAATTTTATTGATGAAAATTAGAGAATCTTAAATACAACGACTCTGACCACTGACTCGAGGGATCGGTTAGCATGCTAACCCTTCTAAGGGGTTGGAAATATGACACCCCTATTAATTATAGTTATTTTTTGTATTAAATTCGTGTTACATTTAATAATATTTGGAAATTAAAAACTCATCTTAATTACATTCCTTTTTTTTAACTACCATTGTACTGATACAACTACCATTGCACCTGTATACTGAACTCGTATTAATTACGTTCCTTTTTTGGAACTACCATTGCACTGATACATCTACCATTGCACCTGTACACAACTACCAGTGCACTGAAAAAAGGAAAGTAATTAATATGTGTTTTTAATTCATACAGATTATTAAATGCAACACAAATTAATTATCTTAAAAACCTATAATTAATAGGGGGTGTCATTTTTCCAACCCTTTTATGGGTAGGCATGCTATCTCATCCCCTGACTCGAGGCTAGGACTCTACTGGTGAAAACATATAAAAAAGGACCAACTCGAAACTTAACCAAAGCAACACATCAGCAACTAATCAACTAACGACTACTTTATTCAAAACGTCTTCTTCCTCTTTAGTTATCCATTCTTCTCTTGACAGTCACCGGCAACCCACCTCTCATCCTGAGAAGCAGCGATAAGCTGTAAGGCGGATCCATCATCCTCTCCGGGCTATTAGCACCTCCATCGGCGGCCAAAACTTCAAACTCCGTCATCACCGCCGCCGCAATCGCTTTCATCTGCACAAAAGCCATCTCCTTCCCCAAACACATCCTCGGCCCGCAGTGGAAAACAGGGTACCTGAACTGATCCACGGGCTCGTACCGTTCGTCGCAATCCAACCACCTCTCCGGCTTGAACTCCCGGCAATCCGGCCCCCACACTTTCTCCGACCGACCAACCGCGTAGGCAGAGTAATCGGCGGACCACCCTTTCCTCACCTCGGTCCCGTCCGGCCACACGTCGTCGTTTGCCACTAGCCTCGTATTTTGAGCCACCGGAGGGAACAGCCGCATCGATTCCGATAGAGCCGCGTGCAGGTAATCCAGCCCCTTCAATTCTTCGTACCCGAATTTTTCCCTCTTTCCGAGCTCCGGCGACGCGAGGGCCGTTGACAGTTCGCGGTGGATCAGGTCTGAGACACGTGGGTTCCCGGCGATTAGCCAGAAGAACCATGTGAGGGCAGTGGAAGTGGTGTCCTTCCCGGCGAGGACGAAACTGATTACTATGTCTCTGAGAAATTTGTGCCTCTGTTTTTCGCCTTCGAACTCCATTGACGAGCTCCAGACCATGAATCTCGCCAGCAGATCTTGATGGTTCTGGATTTCGATTTCTTTTGATTCAATGACTCGACGAGCGAAATCGTTGATCGTGTTGACCGACTCTTTGAACCGCCTCTCCGACCCGAGATTGAGAAACCTCTTGAGCTTCCAAAACAGAGGAACAGGGGAGGTGAACCTCGAGAAGCAAGTCTCCACCGCGTAGTCGAACGCGTTCATGAAATCGAGATCCCGGACAAACAATTCAGGATCCACACCGAACCCAACTCTGCAAATGCTTCTGAAAGCGAATTTATTCAAAACCTGCTGAAGATCGAAACCCCTGTTTTCCTCCTCTGCTTCGGACAGAAAGGGAAGCAAGTTTCCGGAGATCTCCGAGTCCACCACTTCCGACACGAACAGTTTTAGCGACCTGGTGGAGAACTCGTGGCTGGCGATTTTGCGCTGGACGGCCCAGATCTGGCCGTCGGCGTTGAAGATGCCGTCGCCGAGGAGGTCGTGGAGGACGGTGTGGAAGCGGGAGCCCTTGATGTAGCTGGAGACGTTTGGGGAAGTCAGCATGTGCTGGATGTTGTCTGGATTCGAAGTGCAGACGCCGGTGGAGATGTTGAGTAAGGAGTTGACTTGGACGGACGCCGACGGCGTCCGGTGGAGCATCTCCGTGACCCAGTCGTGGAACCGGTGGAAGTTCCGGAGGAAGCTGATGATGTTTCCGATTACAGGGTAGGATCCTGGACATGGGTTTTTGGTTGCCGGGCGTGATTTGAGGAGGAAGAAGAAGAGGATGGAGGTGGAGATGAAGGTGAAGGAGATGTATTCCAACATTCTTTCCCGACCTTGTGTTCTTTTCCTCTCTTCCTAGTCTTACAATTGTCTCATGGTTTATCTAACTACAGAGGAAGGCTGAATTGCCAGACGACATGGGGCGAACCAAAACTCGACCTGGAAGATAGAGACAAACAGGTAGAGTCAGGAAAAACAGGGGAAGCCAAAAATGGTTATTCAGAGTGGTTTGCCAACGAACTAATAAGCATGTAGTTTGTCTCTCAAAGGAAAGAACGCTGTGGCGCAGGAAAACTTATAATTTGTTTAAATGCAAACTCTTGAGAATAGAATTTTGCAAAAGGACATGCAGACTAGACACGGGACACCGATTAGAAATAACTTATCACTAGTTTAGTTTGGCATATTGTTAAATAGATGGATTTTGCATAAAAAAAAAAATAGATGGACAGTGATGAATCGATATGTTACAAATTCTCAAATGTCACATTTATGAAAATTAGAAGACCTATGTGAAGAAGTGGAATGAACAAAAGTTATGAAGCACAAAAGCTAGTTAATTCGCTCGACTGTCTAATTAAGACTCTTCGGTATGGAAATTGGCTAAAGGCCAGGAAAAAGAATGGACACTAATCTGAAAATAGTAAAATACATTTTCACTTGTAATGAATTTACTTACAAGGCAGCTGCTTCTCCTTTCTCTCCCTCCACTCTTCAGACATCACGAAGAAGAATTTACATTTTTTCACTATATTCAACCAACACCAAGTACATATAGGGGGCAAAAAGATTGGCAATCACTGAGTTCGAAAATGGTAAAAAAAAAAAAAAATTACAGCACAAGTTAAAAACATTCACAACCGAACCACTCTAACATCCCCTTCTCCATTGGTGAGGGCAATACCCTTAGCTGTTAGGGTTTGCATCCTTTCATTTATATAGCCGAAGAGATCAGCTTAGTTTCTCTCTACTGTAAACCCCAATGGCCACGTGGCAGCGTGCCACTGGCCCGTTACAGTTAAGTACGGTTTACTTAATGGCTAACTACAGCTAATTAAAAGCGCTGTCATTCTCATTACAGGTTACTCAAAAACAATAAATAAAAAACGCGAAACGTTTCTTCCAATCCGAAACCTCCAGCCCTGAGTCCTTCCACCACGAGGATTTGCAGTGCTGTCTTCTGATATGGTCTATAGGTCGGTGACAATCTTCCGGCCCTAACTAGTGTGGCAGATCCTCGCCACCGATGCTCGACTTGTCGACCATCCTTACGTTGTACTGTTCGTAAACTCTTGCCCTGTTCTCAGCCCACCACTGCTCTGCCTGTTTTTCTGAAAATCGCTTCCGACTGCATTCTCAAAGTTACAGACTTTCAGTCGGATTGAAAGAAAAAAAAAGAAAAAAAGAGGGAGAACAGATGTAACTTCATCCTCGAGCTACTATTGGTTAACAGATCGATCCTAATTTCTGTTCAAAGTTGTGGATGACTTTAGATCGATTGAGTAAAAAAGAACGCACCTGAAGCGGACACGCTTGAGATCCTTGCCGCCGCCTGGCAAAGAGGTTAGTGTTATATACACGCCAGCCTCATCTTGCTCAACCCATTCAGCTTCAGTGTGCGATTCACCGTCTTTCGTTCTGCCACCGCCGTTCCTCAACATCGATTCTGGGTGGCTTTGTTTGTTGTTGTAACCGGAACTAAGGCTGCTAGTGGTGCTGGAACCGTTGGGGAGTGACTGGTTATTATTTAACACGCTCGTCGTGTCTAGCTCTTGGGATGTAACTTGACCATTTAAGCGGTCCATGGCAGCATTATTGGTAGGCATCTCATTCGGAGGATTGTATCCGAAAGAAGTGAAGGAAGGTGTCTTCACAGTCCTGGTTGCTCCCACGGGTAGTCTTTCTGCCATGTCCTTTAACTATCGAACGAAACAATAGACGAAGTCAGCAAAAAAATGAAATAACTGCCCTTTATTTGGAGTGAACAATGCACCACATATAACATATAACCAATGGTGGCTAGTTTAGAATCTACAGGGAAACATCAAAACTCGTCTTACTTGAGCAGTGAGTGACTTGATTACTTCCTTTGCTGCTTTGCATTTTGCAGTTTCCTCTCCTGCAACTGCAATTGCTTCCTTCAACTGTTTAGTTGTTCTTTCTAGCTCCACTTCTTGAAGGTGAGCTTTGTGAGTCAAACTTTCGACCTGAGATGCAATTTGGTTAGAAAGCACTGCCGTTTGTGTTACTTCAAACAAACCAGTAAAGCAAATCAGTATACGATCCCGATAAATCATAAATGAAAAGTTATACGCTCCATGCCACCATCATTATACAAGTACATAAACATCCATTGAATATTATCAGCAGCATTGCTCCCACAAATAGGAAAACCCCAGTTAACTAATGAGTCGGGTGGTTCCAAACATAAGCCAAATGAGCACAACAATGAGATTCAGGACCTATACAAACAAACGAGTCTGGTCTAGAAAGATGCGTCGTCCATGGAGCACAAAACCAGAATTGTACAATATGGAATCTTGTGCATCTTTAAGCTCAACTTTGTAACTGACCAGTTGAAATGAAAGCAAGTATACATGTCCCGCAAATAAATCACTTCCAAATATTACTTCCACCTTCGAAAAGATATTGAAGTGACATGTGGAAAATAAAGCCAACAGTTAACTACATTTTCAAAAATCAGGTGACAAAAGGAAGGACCAGTACCTGAGCTCGTAACTTAGTAACCTCTTGGCTAAGACTGTCATTAGACGTTTTATTATCATCAACTGCGATTTTGGGTGAAGTAAGGCCGCCCAATGTTGGTGATGGTGTTGTTGACCTCGGTGGACTGGGCCGTCTAGATATGGGAGAGGTTGCTCGGGAAACAATTCTTGATCCAGGAACCGAGGCAGAGAAGAATTTCTTGGATGAACCTAACATTGGATTAAAAGATTTAGAAATATTCAGTCCTCCCCACTGTGACCCTCGATTTGGAACCGGCGACACACGGTTGCTGTTGAACTCTAGTTTTTTGTTTTTCCTGGATCGACTGTCTGCTTGCTTGAAAGACTCCATTGATGAAAATCTAGCAAGTTGTGCACGAGATCTCGAATCCAACTTTTCGTCTTTATCAGTAGGATCATTCGAGCCATGATTTATACTACCTCTTCTACTAATTGAGGAATGAGGCGACGGTGCCTCAGTATCCATGGCCTTCCTAAGTTTATTAAAGCAAGTATCACAAACACGATAGGGCTTGTGCGGATTTGGAGCCATGGAAGCTTTAAGCGACTTCTTGCTGCTGCATGAGTGACAGAAAACTAGTCCACAATTATAGCAATTGTGCCGTTTGCGTTTGAAATTGAACGGTAGCCGACAACCAGAACACATAGACTGATCAACACCTGACACCCACTTATGAAGGCATATAGCTGCAGTGAAATTAGCACCACATGCAATACTTTTAACTTGCTTGTCCTTCAGAGCTTCCACCAGTGTAGGAGAGTTTCTGTCATCCATATCCCCATGACCCAACCTACCATTTGCTCCCTTCCCCCAAGTATAAACTTCAGTTCTGGAAGTTAGAACTGCAACATGATAAGCACCACATGCAATCTCCTCGACAAAATTCTTTAACAGTTTCCCTTCAACACGGGCGGGAAGCTTCCCATCAGCTTGTGGATTCCCTAGTTGACCATAAACAGGACTACCCATGGTATAGACCTGGCCAGATGTTGTGAGAGCAACTGTCAGGCTGTGCCCACAAGCAACTCTACAAAAGTTGGGTTCAACCAGAGCAGCAACACAAGTAGGAACAAGTTTGGCTTCCTTGTCACCATGCCCCAGCCTTCCTTTATCTCCATCCCCCCAGGTGAACAACTTACCAGAAGAACAATTGCTAGAACTCGAATTACCAACCATGACTTCTACAACTGCAGCAGTATGCCAAACGCCACATGCTGCTCGTACTGTTCGGAGCCCCTTGAGAGATTCCACTTCCCTTGGCAGCGACACACTTTTCCTGTCTCCATGACCTAGAACACCAAACGTGCCATCACCGAATGTCAACAATTGCCCAGAAGATGTTACAACTGCTGTATGCCAAGGTCCACAAGAGATAGATGATACATGGATGCCTTCTAAGGGCCCGTTCACTCTTTTTGGGACCCAGTGACTGACTACGTTTCCATGTCCAAGAAGACCAAAATTGTAAGTTCCATCACCCCAGGTATACAAATCACCAGAAAGCGTAACAGCACAAGTGTGATATTCACCACAAGCTACTAGCTCAATGTTTGTATTGCTAAGAGCATCCAAAAGTTTCGGATGCATGACATCAGAATCGACACCATGCCCAAGTCTGCCTCCCGATTCCTCTCCCC